GAGGCGTGATACTCACACTAGGGGACCAGCAGTGCCTGGTCTGATGAATAGGGCTGACAAGCTGGGCCAAGGTGCTAAGCCTGGCTTCCTTTGCCCCCCACAATGCCCTCTTAAGACCCCTCAGTTCCAATTAGAGCCTCCTTTTTCATTCCTTACACGTAACTCTCATTCAGGGAGCACTCCTACTGGTAACAGCAGGCCTCTCTTATCAAGAACCAGCCCGGCAAGGTCCCGTGCCACTAAATTCTTAGAGCAGCTCCCCGGGAAAGATACCCATTTCACAGACCAGAACGCTGAGGGCAAGAGGAGCCAAGAATGCTGCAGTTACCAGCAGATTGCCATACATGCATTTCCTAAATCCTCAGATACATGCTTCTTGCCATCAATGTGCTTTGAATGCCATATTGGTGTTTTTTTTTTTCCTCTCAATGTGTCGTTAAATCAACGATGCATCTTACTCTCAATGGTGTCTTAAAATAGAGGAAACACAGCTGTACTCAGGAAGTGTAGTAACTCCCATCTGCCTGGTGTCTACACTTGCAAGGCGCCCAGAGCCATGCCCTCCACCCGTCTACTGCCCCGAGGCAGCTGTGACTCAGAGAAGACGAGTAACTTGCCCAGGTCACAAGCTAATACTGATATCTCTGTGGCCCTTGAGCCCAGCAGACTGGCTCTGAACCTGAGCTCTTTCCTATGTATCCCATACTGTCGTGCTCTGAGGTGCTAGGGCTTAGGGGGCCCAGCGTGTCCTAGGCCTTCCAGTGGGCCAGTGACTCAAGCAGGCAGCGGAGTTGGAGAAGGCAAGTTGCTCGGAAAAGAAGTTAGCAAGCCCACACTGTGTTCTGACCCCCCCGCCCCCGCCATTGGTAAAAGAGGCTTCGGAAGTATAAACCCTGCCTTGTGGAGACACCAGGCGGAGGTGAGGCTGCTCTGCGCATCGGTCAGAACACCTCCGGCTCCCAGCGGGCAGCCCCTGACCGGGCCTCTGACCCCCGCCGCGCCTTGGCAGCTGGGCCCTGCGGGCAGGCAGGAGGTCTGGAAGCAGATCAGGAAGAACAGAGTCCTCATTCATGAGCATGTTTATGAAGAAGGAAAAAAAACGTGTGTGAACTGCATGATGAAACTCAAACCCTTAGTGCTTAATGTGAGTCAGGGCCCGAGCCAGCAGAAGGCCTGGGAGTCCAGGTGCCTGTGGCAGCCAGCCAGAGGCAGGCCGGGGCGGAGAGCAGAGCCGTCTCTGGCCTGGGGGCCCTGCCTCAACCGGGCGAGGAGGATATGAGGGCCGTGGCCGGCGCGTCTCTCGGAGGGCAGACCACACTCCTGGGAGAAAGTGGGGCATGTTCTAGGAGATCTCTGAGCAGAATCTGGAATTTCCTTCAACCAGTGTGTGTGTGTGTGTGTGTCGGTGTGTGTGAGAGAGAGTCACATGTCCATGGGTACCACTGGCAGATTCAGAACCCCAGGCTGCCCTGCAGTGTCGCTAGATGCGGCTGTGCCCTCACTGGCCTCTGCAGATAGGACCACGTGAGGCTGGCGCTGACCCCCAGGAGGCCTCACTCTCCTCTCTCAGGGCCTAGATAGGAGAGGAAGTGTCTGTGGATGCAGCATCCACAGTCTCCTTTCCAACCACATGAAGCCACTGCCTGATGTGTGTAGGTATGTACACGTGTGTGCGTGCGCGTGTTCACCTTCACAGACACAACAAGCCCTGCTTTGAGATCACGGGGCACCTCCTAGGCCCCCCAGACTAGCTCTTGGCTCAGCAGGCATGGCAGGCTGCCTCCACCCTCCGGGCCCTGTGCACCCTCCAGACAGCAACACGTTCACCACAGAGGCCGAACCTGTGCTGCAGAGCCTACAGCCGCCTTGGAGACCCAGTCAGCCCTGACGAGCCCCCGGAGCCAGGCCTCCCCTTGATCCAGGGGCCTGGTGCCCAGACTTCAGACACGTGCCATACGCCCTCCCCCACCCCCTCTGAAAAGCCCACCACACCACTGAGTGCACCTGGCAATGCCAACCTCTGGACTTGGTCCTGAGGGGCTGAGCTCTGTTCTGAGGGTCAGGGCTGTGGGAGCGAGCGGCGAGGCATCTGCTGGATTCTCCCGCCAAGCTGGCTGTGGGACCACAGAGCCAGCCCAGGTCCCTCCACCTGGGGACCGAGGAGCCAGGTGCATGAATTTGGGAGGAGTCTGTGTGGTACAAGTGTGAGTGGTGGAACTAGAAAGACTCATGAGGGTCAAAGATGCAGATCCCCCCGCTGTAGAGTCACACTGCAGAGGCTCAGGGAGGTAGGGAGGGACTTGAACACCCAGCGCGGACCTGGTCCCTGGCTCCGCCTGAGCCTTTCCCACCAGCCAGGACTGCACGGGGCCTGATCCGCAGGCGCCTCCCTGCCTGCCCATGAGAGCTCATGAGAAAGAGTGTGGGAGGAGGACTGGGCCTCAGCACAACCCCGGGGGGCGCTCTCCAAAGATACGCCCTTTACAGAAGATGCTACATACATATGCACACACACAATCACACAGACACCCACAGGCCCCCCCCCCCCAATAAAGCAGACAACCACACTGAGCACACAAGACATGCACAAGTCTCACAACACAAACACTCACACGCTGGCTCATGGACACACCTGCATTCACACACAGAGAAACACGCACACTGTAACTCTTGTGTACAAACGCTCATACCCACATGAGTACACTCATAGCCACCCATCCATAAAAGCAGCAGTGACTAGACACACCCACACTTGTCCACTTAAACGCACATGCTCAGGCAATCACACACATACTGTCGCACCACACACCCAAAGCCATTCCCATATATAAAGACACTCACAAACTCAGAATGAGCCCACACCTTACACAATGTGCAGAGGTTCACAGACTCACAGTCACACTTGGGCACCCATGTGCTCATGCACACACTCACGCACACATATTCTCAAACTCATGCACACATGTATGTTTGTGTACATACCTATACATGTGCCCAGACACTCCAGCATACATGTATACACACCTAAAATGTGTGCCCTCATACTTTGCATATGTGCACCCACACTCACACGTACCCACACCCCAACTCAAGTGTGCACCCTAAGCATGCCCACCCTCACACGCCTCGAGCCAGTGAATATGAACTACAAAGCCAAGTCCCCTCCCTCATCCCATTGGTGACAGGCACATAGAAGGGACACTCACAGCAGCTTGAGGATTTCCACGTAGCAGCCGAGCGTGCGGTCAGCCTGGGGACCCAGCTCGATGCTCATGGTGCTGCAGGCAGGGCTGACCATGAGGCAGTCGATGAGGTTGGGCTCACTGTCGTTGCCCGCGCTGGCCGTCAGCGCCGGCTTGGCAGTGCTGGTGTGCTCCACCTCCACGTGGATCTCACTGGAGGCCACGACCACCGACTTGAGCCGTGCCTCGGACAGCGTGGCTTCCTGAGACACCAGGTCCGGGCTGGGGTGCAGAAGGCGCAGAGGTAAGGTGGGCTTCCGGTCGCAGGGCTGCTGGCAGCCGTTCCGGATCTCCTTCAGGCTTGGGGAATTGTCGCGGCTGGGGGGAGAGATGGGAGGGCATGAGCGTGCAGGCGGGACCATGTGGCCCTGGCGTGTATGCTGTGAGCTACAGACCCAGTGAGCACTTCTGCCCAGACAGGCTCCACTGTGCTCAACGCTCCCTGAACCCCCACAGCCCCGTCATGGGCCAGGTGGAAAGCTCAGCCTCTGCTCCTCACCTGGAAACCCACTTCAAGGGGATCTCAACCCCCAGAATCCCAAACTCCTGGGGCCTGCAGGTCCCTTCTGTCTGCAGCAGCCCCCATCACAGCACCTCTAAACACCATGTGCAGGTGTTAACAGGTGTTAACTGAGAAAGGGCTCTATGCATCATTGAAGTCATTTGTTTGGAAAATGCAGGGCCAAACACAATGAAATTGGTGCCCTGAAGCTGGGTGAAGCACCTCCTCCCTGGGAGCTTCCACGCATGACCAGGAGGCGCACCTGACGAGGTAACTCCAGCAACGGGTTTCCGTTGGTCCCCTGGGCTGGCACAGTGCTAAGTGCAACCACACAGACTCCGCAGACATCTGTGTCTGGCAATATTACCATCTCCAGGTTACGGGTGAGAAAAGCGCCAGAGGTCAAATGACCTACGCTTGGCACAGGGCTTCTAAGTGGAAGGGGCTGGGATTTGACACCATGGTGGCTTCCAAGATCCCATATGATCCCGTGCAGGTCCCCCTCCTCCATGAAGTTTTCTCTGATTTCTTCCACCTGCCCACTCACCCTGTCTTTGAATTAGAGCTTTCCATCCCTGGCTGGACACCAGTGTCCCCTAAGGCACATCTAAACATCCCGAACCCAATCAGATCAGAACTCCCTGAGGAGCTTTTAGGGCTCCCTGTGTGTGCAGTGAAGGCTGAGTCCACTGCTCCCAGAGACTCGGAGCACAATGATATGGTCACAAACAGCTCGTGCAGCCCTTCCCTAAACATGGCATGCGCATGTGCCCTGCACTTCCAAAGACGCACGTCCTCTTTGTGCACAAGGACTGGACTGAGCGCAGAACTTGGACCCGATGCACACATTTATCCAGCACGTGCCGTGAGCCAGGCCTGAGCTGAGCCCACCAGGATGCTTGATAAATGCACTGTAAACTTTGCTGGGGAAAAACAAAAGCCATGGGCTGAAGTCCGAAAAGTCTATGGTTGTTGGAAAACTGTGTGTGGTCTGTGGGGGGAGGGCAGCCTAACTATCTCTATGGGTTCAGAGCTAATTTGCTGCTCAAATGCTCAACACTCCATTTCCCTTTGTTTGCCTTTGCTGGGATTTAGGAGTGGATTTTCAAGGCTGTTGGCTCAGAGGGTGATTTTCCAGTGAGCCATGCTAACCTGGGTCAAGCTGTCTGCTCTGTGTGAGTACATCACGTACCACTGGGAGCACCGCGGATGGGCCCTGAGGACATCGTGGGGTTTTATTTTCCAGGACTGACCAACAAGGTGGGGTGGACCTGAGCCCAGGAAAAGTCTCCCAGGATTGTGGCCCTTGGGTGATTTCCTGGAAGAACTAAGGACGTCACTTGGAACCCAAACTACTGTGGGCTCCGAGGGGGGACGGGCGTTATAATCCTGTGCCTCCATCCTGGGCACCTGGTTATAACCAACATTCATGACTCCCCCATGGTCATGCTTGCCCCCTCTCATCCACCCTCCATGCAGCTGCTGCCAGAGGGGAATCTGGAAACTGACATCTCATCAAGTCCCTTCTTAACTGAATGCCAATGCTCTTTGAGTAAAAACTCGGCAACTGAAACACAGGCACAGCTCTGCCACTCAGCGCGTGCTCCCTGGCCAGCAGCATCCGCATTACTGGGCGTCAGTTAGAGAAGCAGCGTCTCAGGCCTGCCCCACACCTGCTGCGTCTGCACCTGCACTTAACACACAACCCCCAGGAGCAGCTCAGCCCAGGAGGTTTGAGCAGCTCAGCAGTCCATGGCCAGCGCCTTCTCCAACATCATCTTTTGCTTCTCTTCCTTTCCCTTTCTCTGCTGCAGTCTCAGTTCCCTTCACTACCTCCTCTGCTGTGGCCCTTCATCTTTAGGATGGAGCAGATCACCGGAGGAGCTTGACAAGAATGCAGATTCCTGGGCCTGAGCCCAAAATGGACATCAAGGAATCTGCTTTTTAAAGAAGCAGCTCAGGGGATTCTGAAGCAGGTGGTTAACCACAGGTAGAAAAATGGAGACTTCACTTGCCCTACCAGGCCTTTGCACATTCTGTTCTCTCTGCTTGGATCACCTCATCCTGCCTCTTACCTAGTTAACAGCTAGTAGGTCTCAACTTAAATATCACCCGCTGAAGGATCCCTTCCTCACCTCTCCTGGGAGAAGGGGTTCTCAACTCTAGCCATGAACTTGACTTGCCTTTGGAACAATCCAATACTACGGCCATCCTAATTCAATCAGAACTGCAGTGGGTGGGGCTCAGGCACCAATTCCCCCCTTCTTTATGAAGCTATAACCAGCAGTATGCTGGTAAATGTCTAACAACCTAGTCTCCAGAAAAAGGAAGCCCTGTTTTGTAGTGTTTGCCAATTTCCTTAGTGTAAATACTCCCACTGTGACCAAATTCAAGCCACCAATGTGCCATCACTGACTGTGGAACTGAGAAGAGGTGTGCTTCCAAGTGTAACAGGGCTCCAGCATACCCGGGTGTAACTTACACACAGAACAGGCAGTGCATAAATCTAAGGTGCAGAGCTTCGTGAGTTTTCACACATTCCCGTGTAATAACCAGCCACCAGATCAGGACATTTTGGCACCACGGACATTTTGGGCCGGATAATTCTGGGTTCTCTGAGGGGGGCTGTCCTGCACCTGGCAGCATGCTCAGCAGCATTCTTGACTTCCACCCACTGGATGCCAGCAGCACCCTGCCCCCTGCCAAGTTGTGGCAACCCCAAATGTCTCCAGACCTTGCCACATATCCCCTGGAGGCCAACACTGTCCCCAGCTGAGCACCACCGGCCAAGCTGTAAAACATTTCCAGGAGCTCAGAAGTTTCTCTCGTGCTTTTCCAGCTAGCTCTGCCCCCCAAAGGTGACAACTATTCTGGTTCTGTCACCATAGATTCATTTTGCCTGTTCTTGAACTTGAAGGAAAAATAATCACACCATATGTATCTCTTGGGTCTGACTTCTTTCACTCAATGTTATGTTTGTGAGACTTGTTCGTGGCTGCACGAGTTCATTCATTCCTGCTGCTACATAGTCTAGCTTCTGAGAACAGACCACAGCTTAGTTATCTGTTCTACTGTCAGAGGACACTGGAGTCGAGGCAGGTTCCAGTTTGGGGCTATTAAAAATAACGGTGCTGTAAACATCCTTGTACAAGTCTTCTGATGAATACACCGGAAGCTGAGGAGCTGGGTCACAGAGCAGGTGTCTGCTCAGGTTTACCTTCTGATTTTGTAAAGCCTCCCAGGTGACTGGTATGCAGCCAGGATTGAGACTCCCTGCTGGAGACCATGCTAATGCCACCTCTGGCTTCTGCCATCACAGCCCTGACCTAGCTGTACTGTATCCACTTGCTTGCTCAATCCCTACCCCTCCACCTGCTGGTGCACCCTCTGCTCTGGGAGGGCAGGGGTCCCATCCGGCTGGCTCACTTGGTGCCTTCCATACCTGGCACTTCATGGGCCCTCACATACTGAGTGAATGAGAGGAGGAAACCTGGCTGTTGCCATCCCCCTAACTGCGGCAGTGTGCACGGTTCCTAACCCTGGCATTTTCCATCCCCCCCACCCCCCCACCCCCCAGGACGGGAACTGGGGCAGAGTTCCAGCACCCTTGTCTTTGTCTCCTGCTCCCAGGTCAGGGAAACCCTGCAGGGCATGCTGGCAGGGCTGTGGAGATGCAGAGGGAAAGCTCTTAGATGTGTGGGTTCCTCCTCCTGCCCCAACCCCACCCGAGTCCCAGCTCAGGGGTTCTGGGGGAGCGCCCAAGGAGGCTGAGATGAGTCAGAGGCGTCAGGAGGAAAAGGAGCCTGAGAATGGGTGTGAGTGTGAGTGTGAGCGTGTGTGTACGCGTGCGTGCGCGCGCACACACACACACACAAGTGACCATTTCATGCTCTTCCTGCTTCCTGGGGTGGCCTGAGTTTGAAAAGCACGCTGATCAGATTGGGTCCAGAGCTAGAGCAGTGAGGTCAAGGGTGAGTACCACTGTGTACACAGGGATGCTGGGACGTACACCTCCCTCTGACCCTCTTCTTTACTTGACATAACATGTTGTAGGGTACACACAGGCACTTGGGAATGGTCAGCATGGCATCTTTATGTTTGGGCCTCAAGGGCACTGCCACCTCTTTCTGAACAAGGTGGACATGGTCCCCTTTAAATGTCAGGATCTGGGGCTGAGGACATTAAAATAGTCGCCCTCCCTTCCTAAGCCCGGTCACACAACATACCCCCTTGTTGAGGTTCACTTGTGGCCCCTCCCCCAAGAACTCCAGGGCAGTGTTTGCTTAGAAGCCCCATGGGCAGGTTTTCAGGGACGCAGGGTCTGCACCGCCTTTTCCTTAAGGGCTGAAATATATTCCTGCTGGATCCCGACACATTCGGTGCCCCTGGAGTGGTGCCGTGTGCCACCTGAACAACTGGACCGGGTGGCGGCCACCGATGCCATCTCTGCCTGGCACATCCTACCCTCTCCAGTGACCCCAGAGGTCACTGTCGAAAGTTCTACGCAAATGGATGGCATTTGCGTCACTGCACCCCAGGAGCGATTCTCAATTAAGGAAGCCTGGGAGCTGGTAAATAACTACAGTGGTGGCGTCACCCTCAGAGGAGTAACTCGGAGACTGTTCCCCGAAGTCTGCCAGGATGTCCAGTGGGGAATGCACAGGTGCCCGCAGTGGTCACCTGCTTACTAACACAGGTCCGGGATCTACTATCTGTCCTCTCTCCCGTGCTTCCTGGGGTTCACAAACACTTGCACACATTCACACAGTGCACACACAACTCCCCATGCACACACCCACATGTGTGCACACATTCTCCCTCACACACATACATGCATCCACACTCATGTTCCAATGTGTCACACATGCCAGGTGGTGAGAAATATTCAGAATAAAACACTTGCTCCTAATGTCCAGTCAACACAACAGCCTTCAGTTGCCGGTACTGAATCTCAGTGTTTGTTTCCCAGTAATTCCTGGTTCTGGGCTCTGGAATCAGTGAGCACACGCGATCTGGCAAACACCCTGGAGGCTGGCCTGGTGAAAACCACTCCACCTCCCTGGGCTGGTCAGATATGTACAGGCCCCTGTCCTTGGTGACCCGCCCTCTCACTGTCCCCACCCTGGGTAGTAACCCCAGCCCTTCCCGGTGGCGACGGTGACTGACCTGTTGATGAACTCTTCATAGCAGGAGTAGATGGCAGCCAGGCACACGGCCACCAGGTTGGGCAGGACCCGGGGGTGAGGGCAGTGCCCTGTGGGGCCGTGCATGCTGGAAGAGAGCAGAGGGCAGGGTGAGAGGCAGCTGCAGGAGTGGCATCATGGCTGGGAGGCGGGGGGAGGCCGGGCACAGCTTGAGGTGGTCATGGGGGAGCACGCTGAGCCTTTTGCTGTGGAGTTGGCAATACTGGGATTGGGTCCTGGCTCTGCCATGTGCAGGCAGCAGAGAACCAAGGTCCAGCCATGAGCTCTGGATCCTGGTGCCTGGGTTCAAGTCCAGCTGAGTGGTCTTGGCATACTGCTTAACTCTCCACTCGCAGTTTACTTAGCTATAAAATGGGGACTATGGCCCCCTCCTTACTGGGTAACAACAAGAACCCAATTTTCTAAGTCATGGGAAGACCTAGCATAATATGGCCATGCGGCCTGGGCAGACACACTTATGCCTGGGGAGTTCTGAAATCTTTATTCATAATACCTCACTTTACTCTCAGAAGTGCCCTGCTTTGGAAGAAAAATTAGTATGGTCACCCTGACCTAGCATGGGGTCTGAAACACAGTTGCTAAGGCCTCGGTAGATGCAGCAATTGTTATTAATCATGGCTATCTCTGTGCCTCAGTTTTTTAACCTGTAAAATGGGACAGTTTGGGGCCTGGAGATAATATCTGTAACATTCCTGGAAAATCACTGTGGCCACTGGGACTAACCTAAAAAACTCTGCAAATCTTAACTGGATGCTTTAAAGGGACCCTGGAGTCACCCAAACTCTGGCAAAAGGACATGTCATTTGCGTTTGGGAATGCTTTGTGATGGCAGGGGAGTATATGGAGGAAGAATGTAACTTCAAAACTGGCTTAACCAGGATATTTTAATTTTCTTAAAACATAAAAGAAGAGTCATGACAGTGGCCACTAATGCTCCCATCACATTTATGCGTTGTTCTTAGTGTTTGTGTATTCGGTCACCAAAGCCCTCAACTGGATGGAAGTGGGTATTGCGATTCTCATTTACAGATTAGGAAACTGAGGCACAGAGAAAAATATTTAAAAATCAAAGCAAAAATAACCCCCCCCTACTCAAACCCCAGAAGGGAGTAAGAACCAGAATATTTGGCTTCCTTTTAGCCAAGTTTGGGAGGTAGCTGTCAAAGTCCCCAGTGGTGACTCTCTGGGCCACAGGGGATCACTTCCTACACACCTGGCACCGGAGGTGTGGAAATACTCCTATTACTCAGGACCATCACCATTCCCTGAGTTCCTACTGAGCATCAGGCATGCCAGGGGCTTCCTCATATATCACCTTACTTAATCACACAACCCCGTGTGGAGGACACAGGATCAGAGGTACAGGAATTGGCTCAGTGCCACACAGTAAGTAAGTGCCTGAGACCACAGGTGGTCAGGAGGCTCCAGGAGACCCTCACAGAAGAGGAGACGCTCCCAGCCCCTGAACACCAGTGGCTGCTCTCCGGGCACCCGGGGAGGGCCTGGTTTTGGGCTGAAGGACAGCTGGCTCACAGGCCGGGGGGGAGGGGTCGGCTGGGAGACCCACCTCTGAATGAACTTCTTCACCACCTCCATCCCCGCGTTGAGCTCGTTCAAGGCAAGGATATACTCCTGAGTAAACAGCCTCAGTCGCGGGCACTTCCCAAAGTCCTGCGGAGAGAACGGAGGGTAGGATTGGGACACGCTGCAGAAGAGGCAGGAGACCCGCAGGGGCGGTGGGACCCGCTCTGCCCGGAGCCACTGGTGCGGAAGGCAGCGAGGAAACACCAGCCACCTCCCCTTTCTAGAAAGCACACACGTTCACATTTTCTCTTCAATAGCTTGGCCCTGTGACACTCATGCTTATACCCTGTGACGGCTGACAAGAGAGACCAGACCTGTCCTGTCACAGGCGGGTTTCTGGCATGTGTAGTCACCCATGTGTGGTCAGCAGGGTCAGCATGCCACATTTTCTCTTTCAATAGCTTGGCCCTGTGACACTCATGCTTATACCCTGTACGGCTGACAACAGAGACCAGGACCTGTCCTGTCACAGGCGGGTTTCTGGCATGTGTAGTCACCCATGTGTGGTCAGCAGGGTCAGCATGCCACACAGACATGGTCGGAAAACAGCCAACAGGGCCTCCCTCTGCACGGCCATGAGGGGACTGCAGACGTTTCTTCTGCAGCCACCTGACGGGTTCTGTGCCCCTGCTTTCCGCGGGCTCTCACCTGACGCCACTCAGAACAGCAGAGTCAGAAGATGCCCCAATCTGGGGCCATCCATTCGGGGGTTGCCTTGGGACTTCTTGGGGTTACGAAGGAGGCAAATGTAGTGCCCAGACATCCTCAGTGAGGAGACACCTTCTCCTGAGAGGACTGAGGCGGCCCGAACAACAGGCGTGGCCCCAGGTGGGGAGGGTTGCAGCCCAGGGCTCCTCAGGGGGCTCCCCAATCCTCTTGGCTGACCCTAGCCACCCACTGTGCTCCTCACTAAACTGAAGAGCGTCCGATGACTTTGGCTATAAAGAAGCCACCCTCAACGGGCACATGGGACCAAAGAGGCAGATCACACAGAAGGATGAGCTCAAGAAAGGCTGATGGGACAAGTAAGGGTGTGTTTGTGTGAAGAATGTAGAGTATGGGAGGAGGTGTGTGTGAAAAATGTGGGTGTGAAAGGAGGTGTGTGTGTGAGAGACAAGTGTGAGAGGAGGTGTGTGTATGACACGTGCAGTGTGAGGAGAGGTGTGTGTGTATGAAAGATATAAGTGTGAGAGGAGGTGTGTTTGTGAGACATACGTGTGAAAGGAGGGGTGTGTGTGAGAGACATAAGTATGAGAGGAGGTGTGTGTGAGAGACATTAAGTGTGAGAGGAGGTGTGTGTGAGAGACATAAGTGTGAGAGGAGGTGTGTGTGAGAGACATTAAGTGTGAGAGGAGGTGTGTGTGAGAGACATAAGTGTGAGAGGAGGTGGTGGGGGGAGAGGTGAGTGTGAGAGGAGGTGTGTGTGAAAAATGTGGGTGTGAAAGGAGGTGTGTGTGTGAGAGACAAGTGTGAGAGGAGGTGTGTGTGAGAGACATAAGTGTGAGAGGAGACGTGTGTGAGAGATGTAGGGTGTGAGAAGAGGTGTGTGTGAGAGACATAAGTGTGAGAGGAGGTGTGTGTAAGAGACGTGAAGTGTAGGAGTGGTATGTGTGCGGGAGAGAGAGGAGGCCTGGTAGGAAGGTCTGTGTGCTGGGTGGTGAGTAGGAGCAGAGGGAAGGTGGCTGATGCGTGGCTGCTAAAAGTGACGGGGCACAGGCTGGGAGGAGGAGGAGGAGGAGGGGGAGGAGGAGGAGAGGGGGAGAGGAGGAGTGGGAGAAGATGGAGGAGAAGGAGGAAGAGATGGAGGAGGAATAATCTGTCCAAACTCAGCCCTGGGGGGAAGACACTCTGTCTCCACCAACCAGCTCAGGCCATGGGTGCCTGTCTTACCTCAGCTGGAGCCTAATTAAGGGGCACTGAGCACAGACACAGGGACCCCCTGCTCCAGTGAGTGATGTTATTAGAGACTGACATCTTCTCAGCTCCCCCAATGCAGCCCGTCAACGTGGCGGGTGACAGAGGTCAGCTTGGAGAGGAAAGACTCGGGAGAGAGGAGCATCAGCCAGGAGAGGGCCTGGGGGTCTGCAGTTAGGGACCCGGAGGCTTAGCCGTGAGCTAGGTTTTGAACAGTCGGGAGGGGCAACCTGTGGTCACGAAGTTGACCACAAGACAGAGAGCACCTGGTGGTCTCCAGACGCATCTGCCCCCTACTGCCCCGCTCTGTGAAACCCATTTATTAAAAGCACCCTGAATCAGGACTCTAATCTGAAACAAAGCCAGGAGACTTTCCTTAAGGACCCAAATGATCCCTGGGCCGGCATGTGAGCTGAGTAGAATGTCCCCCCTGCCCGCCGGCCAGCACACAGAGGCATCTCTAGAGCTGCGGCTGCTTCACCTGAGCCAGGGTCCTCAGGACAACCTGGAGCTCATCTGATGCCATCCTGTCCACCAGGACTGTGCCTTTACATCAGCAGGGCAGCAGAAGCCATGGAGAAATACACATGTATATGCATACACTCATCCCTAACATGCAGAGACACGCACACATATGGACACACATATACACAAATGCACATACACATGCATGCACACACACAAAGCACTGAGCTGGAAGATGAGGTCCTTGCATGACAACAACACTGAAGCTTGATTGTGCTTTCAAGTTGAGAAAGATGCCCCGAATCCCCGAGTCCCTGGAAATGGGTGACAGGAAAGCTGTGTGGCCTTGGGCTGCCGGTCCTCTGTGTCCCCACCGTCAAATAAGGGTTGAAAGAACTGATTTCTAAACCCTTCTACCTCTAAGGTTTCATGATGCTATGAAAACTGATCCAACTGAACCCTGCTAAAAGGAACTGCTGTTACCTTAGCTATTAGATTTCTGGATAGCCAAGGCCATTTCCTTGGAAATGAACACTACATGTGGGTCTGGTGGCCTTTTGAAATGTGGATGCAGGCCCTGGCTTGTGTGGCTCAGTTGTCTGGGTATCATCCCATTCACTGAAAGGTTGCTGGTTCAATTCCCAGTCAGGGCACATGCCTAGGTTGTGGGCTTGATCTGGGTGGTGGGTGTGCAGGAGGCAGCCAACTGATGTTATACTCTCATATTGATGTTTCTCTCTCTCTTTCTAAATAAAATAAAATAAAATAAAATAAAAAACTATTCTTAAAAACAGAAAATGAAGGATATTTTTCCTCTTTGGAAAAGTCAAATATGCTCCCCTTGGAAAATAGGTCAGATCACTCAGTGGTCCACTGGGGACCACAGTCACATCTTCTTGCCTACTCTGCCAAAACAAGAACACTCCAATGAGTGGTGTGTGCATACAGGGACCATGGTCATCCTAGGAAATACAGTTTAACAATCTGTTTAGAATCTATAGGGGAACATACCAAAGGACTGCTTCCATCTGAATCGAATGTTCATTTCTGCCCCATGAGTAACACTCTTTGAGACTCTTAACCTCTCTAAGATTCAGTTTGCTTATCTATGAAATTGGGGCACATGATATATTTGCAGAAGATGCACCCTGAGAATAGGGGAACCTCCAAAACCCCAGAACACCACTGTGCTGTGTGATTTCCCCCATTTCCCCAAATGCCTCCTTAATGAGAAACACTGCACACAGGTGAAGAGAAGTCACACTATGCTGACAGGTGTGTGGCTGGCGGCAGGCTAGGCACACTCATTAACTAACCAGTGACTAGATTCCTCACATCAGCTCAGAGTCCCAGCTCCAAAATGGTGCATCGGCCTACGACCAATTACTACTAAATGGTGACATGGAAGGCCTGCCGTGCTCTCTGCACCTGGTATCAGCCGCTTCTCACACATCTCTGCTGCATGAGGGGTGCTCCCCTGTTCCGTCCACAGTTCTCTTCCCACTTAGTGTGTAATTAGTAGTCGCTTTATAGCAGCTCCAGACTCCAGAGTCACTTAGGGAAGTTCTTTAAAAGTGAAGTGAGAATTCGTGCTTGAGGGCCCCTGATGTCTGCCAGGCCACAACAGAGCTATAAATTCTGGATCTGCCTTGTAGCTGTTCTGATTTTTATCCAGAAAATTATTACATGGTCAACACTCCAGGCCCATAAAACTAGCCAAATATAAGGGAGATGTTGTATAGTTAAGCTATGCAAGGCTGCCTGAATTTTGATATTTTTCCCTTTGAAGTCAGATGTCCCAAAAGAACCCTTATTAAAGTCTACTGACTACCATGAAATATGCAAAAGTGTTCATGTGCCTGGGGAGGCCTGGGCTGGGCCAAGTATGCCCTCGGTAAGCTCTGTCACTGGTAAGTTGTGATGGGAAGTCCTTTGCAAAAGAAACTGCAGAACCTTTGCTTTGGACTCTGAAAGGGTGCCGCCTCCTCCTCACACCACATCCAGTGATTTTAAAATCAACAATCAGAGACCCTTTCCTCCCGAGGTAGCCGAAGCCAGAGTGCCTTTGAAACCGTTAAAGCCCAAATCAAGGCAGAACCTCCTCTGCACCAAGAGATGGGGAGTTTGTTAGTCCTGGAGGAAGAATCAAATGAACTATCCCCCTCTCCTCTGTGCTCAGAAAAGAAGAAATGCATTTATCTTAAACCAAGAAAGATCTCAGAAACAAGCAACAATTTAATTATGGTGTGTGATCACTCAGAATCACCAGATTCAAACAGAATCCGTATGGGACCAACACGGTTCAACTGGTAGCCGCTGGGTAGAGAGTCTTAAGCCACCTCTGGGCTCTGCGGGAGAGTGCTGCAATTGATTGATGATGTCTGCCACCATGCATTTCCACTCCTGATGGGGGGAGTGAGGGTCACGTAATCTTCCTTGGGGGCATGTTGTGGAGATCGGAAAGCTACTTCACAAAGTAAACTGCTGGCAGGTCACCCTTTTTCAGAGTTGTTTTCAACATGCTAAATCCCCACAGGGCCGGGGGCAGCAGTCACAGGCACCTCACAACGAGGTGATTATGGAGATGCCTCCGGGTCATCCAGGCGAACCTCAGTCTGGGCTGGGAGCTGGCTTGGCAGCGCAAGCCTGGACACGGCCCTCACTTTAGTCTGCCTGCTCCTCAGCGCCAGGAGCCCTTACAGCTGCTCACAGGTTCCCTAAGGAACCTCTGGTCTCGGCCCCTCATCTGTAAAGGGAGGTCATGGACCGTCACAGGGGTGAATGACTATACACTTGAGGGTCACACTCTGTCTGGCTCTAAGGAGGTGTGACAGATGTTAGTTATGCTTCTTCCTCATTCCCCATGTGTAATGTGGAGGAGATAATGATACCCAGAGATGAATGGGGCCACACAGACTGTGAGTGCTTGGTCCACTGCAAGTGTGCAATTCTGCCTCTGTTTTGTTTGTTTGTTTAAATATATTTTAAGTGATTCAGAGAGGAATGGAGAGAGACAGATAGAAACATCAATGATGAGAGAGAATCATTGATCAGTTGCTTCCTGCATGCCCCCCACTGGGGCATCGAGTCCACAAACCGGGCATGTGCCCTCGACCAGAATCAAACCGGGGACCCTTCAGTTTGCAGGCTAATGCTCTATCCACTGAGCCAAACCGGCTAGGGCTGGGTTGCCACTGTTTTTGTTTTTTTAATCCTCACCAGAGGATATTTTTCCCCATTGATTTTCAGACAGTATGAAAGGGAGGGAGGAAGTGGGGAGAGAGAAACATCAGTGTGAGAGAGACACATTGATTGGTTGCCTCCCACATGCGCCCTGACCAGGCCCAGAGATAGAACTTGCAACCGAGGTACATGCCCTTGATTGGGAATTGAACCTGCTACCCTTTGGTCTGCAGGCCGATGCTCTACCCACTGTGCCAAACCAGCCAGGGTGTGCATGCTTTTTTTTTTTTAACTAACTAAAGCTCATACATTATTCAGAGTTCCTTAGTTTCTCCCTAATGTCTTTTCTGTTTCAGGGTCCCATGCAGGGCACCACATTACATGCAGTTGTCGTGTCTCCTTGGACCCTCTGCACGGGACAGTTGCTCAGCCTGTCCTGTTTGTACTGACCTGCACAGTTTTGAGGAGCCCTGTCAGGGGTTTGCAGCATGTCCCTCAACTGGGACTGGTCTGACATTTTCCTCTTGATCAGACTGGGGTTGTGGGTTTGAGAGGCAGACCCCAGTGGTAAAGGCACAACTATCACCGTGCCTATCACGGTTGGTTGCTGACCTTGATCACCTGTGGGGACCGTCAGGTTTCTCCACGGTTTCTCCACAGTATGGTCACTCTGTCCCCCTCCCCCTCTCCATCCTGTACGCTCTGGAGGGCCGTCACTAGGAACAGCCCCCAGCGAAGGAGGGAGGAGTTCCGCTCCCTCCTTGAGGGTGGAGTATCTCACAGACACCATGTGGGACTGCACACAGGGAGACCATCTCTTCTCCCCGAGCCATCCTATTTCTGTTATTCTTACCGCCCGTGAAGAGATTCTTCCTGTCGCCGGAACAGAAAAACAAAGAACCAAAGGGGACAGGCCACACGCAAACCCGAGTTAAACAGAATCCCAGCCCCAGTCCCTGGCTGTCGGGGCGGCCAATCCCAACCCAAAATCTTTGTAAAAGTGAACGGCCGGGAAGGTGTGCCCACCTCCCCCGGCTCTGCGGTCAGGGTGCTGGGAGACTCACCATGTTATGCTTGAGGATTCTCTGGACCACGGGCGTGAACACCTCGATGACCACCATGGACCGGGGCCGCTCTCTGCAGTGCTGGGGAGACAGGAGGACATGGTCGGCGCTGAGCCTCGGCCCCTCGCCCAGGGAGCTCAGCATGGGGCCTGGGTTCCCTGCTGAACAGTGTGGCATGGCTCTGTGTTCATATTTTTGGAGGAAGAAAAGTGGGTGAGGAAGGGAGTTTATGTTTGCTTTTTATTCTGATCTTAAAGTCTGAGCGTGTTTCAGGCAGCGCAGGAAGGCGTGGTCTGACACGCCTGGCACAGGAGTTTCCGCCTAACCAGTGCAAGAGCGCCAGGGGTTTGGTGCCGGACACGGGTGTTGAGAACTCTGTGGCTTCTCCACTGCCGGCTTTGATAGCCTGCAGCAGTCTGCAGGCCAGTGCAGCTCTCAGTGTTCCATCTCAGGGGCATGGAGCTTAGATTTCAAACTGAAACTGAAGGCCTCAGGTGGAGCAGACAGGAGCCCACCACTGCAGCACATGCACAGCCTGCCTGGGCCTGAAGGTGCTGTTTCCCAGCCCTGGAGGAGGATGCCATACTTGGGATATTAGAAATCGGGGCTTTCCTGGGAAATTAAGATGTACTAACTTTCCTCAGATCTTGGGATCCCAGTTGTGAAGTTTGGCAGGAGAGACTGCCCGGCGTGTCCAGAGCTGGCCCAGAGTGGACCTGGTGGGGGCGGCTCTGTTCCCCTCAAGCTCTCTTCTCTGGAGGACTGCCTGGTTGGCGAGGCACTGAGGCTGTGGCTTTGCCCCCCTCCCCCACCTGGCACTCCCCGAGGGAAAACAGCCATAAAGCTTACAGGCCCCCCTGGCTGGGACCCCTCACTCCAGGTGGCAGGGCAGCCTTCTGTTTTAGAATCAATGGAGAGTCCTACCAGGTAGTGCCCAAAAGGATGGTTTGGTGCCCAAAAGGATGGTTTGGTCTCATCACTGTTTTTAAACTGTGCTAACCATTTACTCTGAACAGAGGTCCATTGCACTAGAACAAGTCTGTAAATCATGAGATCTGGGAGAAACCATACAGCTGAAAGGAGACAAAAGGCAGATCTGGATTAAACTGGACCAAATATCAAGAGAAGAGATGACACCTGCTGTGATAGGTGAGGAGCCCACGCACTGGGTTATCTGACCCACCCACTCGGGGGCAGGGAGGCCCATCTTGTCTGCAGTCTCACCAAGCTGGGTGCAGGACAGGAGCCTGATGCCTGTGTGCAAGCACGCTCTTGCACACACACACACACGCAGGTACAACTGTATAGTCGGGCACTCACCCACTTGGACCCACCTTACCTGCTTGGACTGGAGGGCACACACTGGCACGTGCCCACATTAAGAATGTACCCTGGGCACTTCGGGCCAGCAGGCTGGGCCCACCCTCTGCTCTGTGGGTCGCTGAAAAAGGTCTCCTGATGGAGAGATAGGGCCAAAGAGGATGACACAATCCTGTCTCCCTAAACCTCGTGTCACCTGACAAACACAGAGAGAGCGCACACTCCCTGGGTGAGGGGCCCGGGGGTGAAGGGCAGGGACGGGGCAGTAGGTGTACCCCAGTGTCCTTTCCTTCAGAACCATCAGGCCTCCCAGGTGCCGCTTTGCCAGGCCACGTGGGAGGAAAGGAACGCAGCGAGGTGAGTCACCAGGAGAGACCAGGGTAGTGCTGGGAAGCAGCAGACCTAGGCCCTCGCCTTTCCAAGGACATTAAATTATGACATAAAAAATCACACAGCAAAGAACAAAAGCAGATTGTGTTCAGCCCCAGGCCACTGCAGTGTGCTGGCAGAATGAGGGATGCCTGGTCCCCGACGTGCCCTGGACATGTTCCGAGTAAATCCCACTGCGAGGCTGGCGCTGTGTCCCTGGGAGCGGGTGTCCCGCTCTGTGGCTCCTCCCAGCTAACCTGGCATCCCGACTGCTTTCCCTGCTCAGGAAAGCCCCACGGCCATGCCCCCACTGTGGGCCAGCTGGTGCTCAGAGGAGCCCTGGCTAAAAATAACCCAGCTGACGTCAGGAGCCCAGAAAATCTGCTGCAAACTTCTCCCAAGACAGCCACAAAGACATTCAAGGAAAAGCTGGACACTCCTCCCTGACCCACTGGTTTGGACCCTGGGCCTCGATGATCACCTGTGTGACCGAGAGGGGGCTGCAATCCTAAGAACAGGGTACCTGGCTTGCCTTCCAGCCGTGTCCAGGGCAAGGCCCTGGGTTTTTAACAAATTGTGCCAAGCCAACCCCTAGCACGCACACAGGGAGGCAGGCTGGTCCTGCAGACGCAGCCCACTTCTGCCATGTCATACCTTGCAAAAGAATTCACAGAGATCTGGTGGTGGATGGTTGTTTTCCAGCAAAGGGGCGATTGCCTGAAAGACAATGAACCCAGCGTCAGTCGGAATCTCTAGAAGGAAGCGTATGGCAGGTGTGTCTAACAAGAGGGATGACTCATGATGGAAAGCACAATCTCCCTGTCACCCTCCGGGCAAAAAAGGCCCATTCTCTAACCTGCAAGCCGGGGCCCCTAAACTGGGGGGCACATGGTTCCCTTAGAGAAGGTGATACAAGCTCTGGGCTGCCCCCCAGAAACATGCACATACAACGATGCATGTAACTTCAGGGTTTCATGACCTGCTGGTGTCCCCTCAGATTACAGTCCCTGACTTTGAGGCAGGATCGTGGCTTCGAGCCAGGCTTTGGGGGCAGAGTCCTGGGCGGGAGTCCTGATCCTGGTGCTCACTGCAGTGTGACCATTTGAGCAAGTTATTTCCTGTCTCTGAGCTCCCGGGCTCCCACCTGCAAAGTGGAGCAGAGTTGCTGTGAGGGTGAGAGGTCGCATGTGCAGAGGCATTGCTCAGCCTTGCACTGCTGACATTTGGGCTGGTTGTTCCTATGGTGGCAGCTGCCCTGTGCACTGTGGGATGTCTAGCAGTATCCTTGTTCTCGACCCACTAGATGCCAGGAGTGACTCCTAATGCAGTGGTGACAATCAAAACTGTCTCCAGAGACACTTCGCTTTATACTCAGGAAGGCTGCGAGATTTACTGACCCTTGAATTCATTTTTCAGGAGACTTGGTAAGCCAGCTGGACAATAATTACTGGTTCCACTGCCATTCCTATGCAAGGGTCCCCTGCACTGCATGGAGTTTGGTCCTCTATTTTTTGTCCCTTTCATAATTCGTTTTAATGAGTTTGCTAAACTTCACATTCAAATAACATTTTTGAACAATTAAACGGTGTGTCCTGACATTGCCAAATGCCCCTGGGGGAGAGAACTGGTCCCAGCTGAGAACCCCCAGTGCAAGTGCCTCTCACAGAGCCTGCAACAGGCTAGCACTCAGTAAATGTAGTTACTAGTGGTTAATAGCCATGTGAAGTCCACTCTTTGTCCCGTTTGCCACACTGGGCACGTTAGGAAACAGGAGACCAGGACCCAGCAATGAGATTGCCAGGCTGTGTGACAACTCAACTCAACCTCTCTGGGTATTAGACTTCTAGTCCATAAAATGCGGAAAACTAGAGATACTGATTCACAGGGTTGTTGTGGGAATTTGATGAGAGAAAACTCTAGAAGCTTTGGAGTCTCAGGGTTGGTATAAGCCTATTGCCTGGAGCACAGCATGTCACTGACATCATCGCACAGCAGCGAGGGGTGACGATTTGCCCGACTCCCCAGGATTCTGCTGTCCCCTCCAACGTGCTGGCCTGGGAGGAGTGAGCTCACAGCAGGGATAGTCGGGCAGGGAGCCACTGCCTGGCCCATGGCTCTGTTCCCCAGGCCCAGCTCTGGGAGAAGGGACGACATGCAGGGTGCACCCCCTGGGTTGAGCCCCTTTAATCACATTGGGCCCCTCTTTCATGGGAATGAGTTAAGGAATAGAGGAGTGGGAACAAATTAAGCGCCCACAGGTGTGGGTTCGGTGCTTCCATAGCAATTCTCTTATTTGACTGCCAAACTCGGTGAGGTCAGGCAGTAGTTACTTCCATTTACACAGATAGACAAAAGGTCAGGGAAGTTACAATGCCTGCCCTAATCACAGAATGATAATTTTACAACATATAATTAATAAAAACGCTTATTTTTGTGTGGAATCTTTCTATGAGCTCAGCATAATAGGTATATTAGCTCATTTAACCCTTTCAGCAGTCCTGTAGGAAAGGCCCTGTTGTCATACCCATTTCATAGACGAGGAGACTAAGGCTTAGAGCGTCAAGTTAATTGGAAACTATCTGAATGGCTGCCTGGTTAAGTAACAATATCCTTGAGCCAGTAGAAAGAATGCAGGTAGGCCAGTGGTCCTCAACTACTGTGACTTTGCCCCCCAGGGGACATCAGCACATGGAGACATTTTTTACTGTCACCACAGGGGAGTGCTACTGGCATCTAGAGGGCAGTGGCCAGGGATGCTGCTCAACATCCTACAGTGCACACAGGACAGTCCTCACCACAAAGAATGACCCATCCCCAATGTCACCAGTGCCAAGGGTGAGAAACGCTGGGGTAGTTATGTGAGAAAAGACTTGAAAGAATTTCCAGAACATTCGTTAAGTAAAAAAACAAATGCAGAACCACACACCCAACATGACATCATCGATGTTAAAAACAAAAAGCAAAAACACAACCATGTCTGTCTGTGTGGCTTTGTCACCACTGGAAACCCCTAGGGCTGCCTCTGAAGAGGGTGCTGGGATGGGGTAAATTTTTTCTTTTTGCAATTAAAATACACTCATGAAATACTTGCAAAATCAAAGATAATTTTAATGAAATTTAAATTTAAAGTTCTTCCCTTACTTGCCCAAGGTCACAGCTAGTATGGGGTGGGCCCAAGGTCTGCACTTGGCTCTGAACTTGAACCCACATTCAGCTTTAAACCCATTCTTCACCAGCACAGGGGAAGGCAGCTGGCATTTGGCCTCCAGGTCCACACTCACCCAGTGACACTCCAGCTGTTACCAACCAGCAGTTACCTATTGCACGACTGATGGATTGAATAAAGCCAACTCAAGTTACTTGTAAAAGTACTCATAAAAAAATAAGTTCATTGCCCTGGCCGGTGTGGCTCAGTGGATAGAGCATCGGCCTGTGAACTGAAAGGTCCCAGGTTCGATTCCGGTCAAGGGCATGTACTTTGGTTGCGGGCACATCCCCAGTAGGGGGTGTGCAGGAGGCAGCTGATCAATGTTTCTCTCTCATCGATGTTTCTAACTCTCTATCCCTCTCCCTTCCTCTCTGTAAAAAGTCAATAAAATATATTAAAAAAAAAAAGTTCATAAAAAAAATACCAGCCCTGTTGGGAGAAGACTAATTGCCAATAGGCCAAATCAGATAATGTAATTGCTGAAATGAAAGGAGGCTGCAGAAGGCTTCATGGTAATGGAACCAGCATCGGGAATAAAGAATGCTGAAAGGAGGGCTGAGGGCCAGATCCTCAGATCAATTCTTCCCTGTTCTCAGGCATCCCCGCTGAGCAGGGAAGCTCAGCCAGGCCCAATTAAGGGTCAGCCCAGCCAAAGTAGCTGGCTAAATGCAGCCTGGATTTCTCGGACCAAAATGTCTTTCCCAGGCTTGTCCTAAGTCCAAAGCCCTTGCCCCTCCTCTCCAGGGCCGAGGGGCACAGTGGGACCCACAGGTGTTGTCAGAAGAGAAGAAGATGCCAACTCCTTGCCTGGCATATACATTCCCGCCTGCTTCTCCACCAACCAGTCTCGCCACTTTGCCTTTGCATGGACTGGGCCCCCTGCCTGGACTGCCTTTCCTGGGAGCACGCCTACTCCGTGTGCTCACCTCCTCCTGGAAGCCCTCTGCCATCTTCCTCCCAGCACCCTCCCTGTCCTCTGTGCTCCTCTAACACCCGGACAAATTCGAACCTCTGACCATTACGTGATTATCTGTTGATTTGCCAGGTCCTCCCAGCTCACAATAAATCCCTCAATGGTAGCTTCATAACTAGAGACTAGTGTCTGGCACATACTTGTATTCACATGTCAACAAATGCTTGTTAAATTATATTGTTAATTAATAGTATACCAGAGAAAGGTGGGGGTGGGTGATTGGGGGTGCCCAGGTGGATGCTCGCTGGTCTGGCCAGAGATGGCAATGGGTGGTCAGGCTGGAACACGGGAGAAACCTCTGTATTTTTAGCAAATACTCAGTGAGAATCTACTATGTGCCAGACACTGTATTGTTGCTCCACAGAAATTGCTGCCTTTACTGTCAGCAATAAAAGGCCTAGGGCTGTGGTCGGCAAACTGAGGCTCGCGAGCTCTTTGGCCCCTTTCGTGTGGCTCTTTGGCCCCTTGAGTGTGGCTCTTCCTAAGCCTTAGGAGTACCCTAATTAAGTTAATAACAATGTACCTACCTATATAGTTTAAGTTTAAAAAATTTGGCTCTCAAAGAAATTTCAATCATTGTACTGTTGAAATTTGGCTCTGCTGACTAATGAGTTTGCCGACCACTGGCCTAGGGCTTATCTCCTTTGGTGCTGACAGGACTCAGCTGGGGCAAAGAGGGTGATTGTCTAGACTGGGCTCATGAGGGCCAAGTAGTTGGGCACCCAAAGTCCTAATTCAGCTCAGAGGGGCATGGTTGCCCTTGTTTCAAAGGCTGCAGCCATGGGACCTCTTGGGCAGGTGAGTGTTCCAGGTCCTGTCCCAGACACACAAACCTCTGCCCCTCACTTCCATTTCAAGTTCTGCCTCCCTGCTTTCCACTTCCTTATGCTTTATGCTCTAGCAATGCTGAAGTGTCAAAAAGATACCACGTTGTTTTAAATCTCTGTTTACATTTTATTTCCTCTCTCTGGAATGCCTTTACTCTGTTTTGCCATTTGGAAAACTCCTATTGATCCTTCAAAACCCAGCTCAGACATCACTGTCTCCAGGAAGTTCTCTGGCTTCTTTCCCAGGTGATTTTGTCACTCTACTCTCTACACAACATGCCTCTATTTTTGCAGTGATCTCATTTGTCTTCCCACAATAGATGATGAATCCTTGGGAGCAGGGGCTGTCTTAGTTATCTGTGGATTCAAGTACCCAGCACAGTGCTTTGCACCCAGTAGGTACAATTTCATTTCTTTCTTCTCTTTAGTGAGAGTCATGTTTCATAGCTTACAACCACCCAGGAAGATACTTTACCCTAGAGATGTTTACATCATAGTCAAGTCCAAGAAAATATCATCTCACTTTGCGTATCAGAGGGAATTAAAACAGTTTCTATTTGTGGCTTAATTAGGAGACAGGGCCTGGACAAGAAAGAGACCGGCTACATTTCCACTAAGGGTTTTGCCTCTGAATAAGTTATATGGTCTCTGCTATCTCTTGCCTTCAACCCCCTCTGCAGACTCGGGCCAGAGGAGGCGATCAAGACACATTTGCTACAAACCTCAAAGACTGATAATTACATCCCCCCAAAATCAATTGGACTCTGAAATGTGCAAAAGCAGGAGCGAGACATGTCTGGCTTGATAAAGAGACAGCCGAGCCAGGTCGCTGTGTTAGTGGATGATGCTGGCGCCTCCAGAATTAACTCAAACTGGGGAAGAATTGTGGGCACTGGGAGAGGGATGGCAAGAGACTTACCACAATGATGTTTTCATGCTCCTGGGTCGTCAAGTTTGTGTTCTACAGGATGGAGCACAGAAAGCAGGAGGGAAACAAAAGAAAACAAACAAATATTAATAAAGTGGAGCGTTTGTATCCCGAAGGTCCACAGTTTCAACTGCTTTCAGCCTCTCAGTGCACTGCTGTCACCTGTTCTTAATCACACAGATCAGAAGCCCCTCAGAGGCCTGGTCGGGGCAGGAGAAAAGTACCCCGTGGGGCAGGGGAATCAGGTCCCGAGTCCCTGCTCGCAGCCTGTGAGTTATGTGATGTGGACAGACCACTTTTGAGTAAGAGTCAGTTTCTTCTTCTGTACACGGGGTCCGCTTTGGGCTGCAGGGACAGGATATATGCCACTTGGAAGCCAGAAGACAGGTTCCTAATAAACATGTGAAGAACACTTTTCAGTCTTGACTCTGTGCTGGAGTCTACTAGGAGTGGCATATATATTATCTCAGTGGTTCTCAAACTGGGTCCCTAGGGAACATTAGTGTTCTATGAGTTGGCCCAAGATGTGTTAGCTAAATTCCAATTCTAACAGTTAATTTTCAAAAAGTAATATTAAGTTGAAGGGATTAAACTTGCTTAATTTTTAGGTTTTCCCCTCAATCTGGAATTTGCTTTCACAATTGGTACCTGTACTGCCATCCTGTGAGTATGCAAATGAGGAAAGGAATGAATATGCAATAAATGAGAAACCATGGGTAAACTCAGAAACAGCCACTATTGTCGTTTTTGTTAGCTTCAGGGCACGTTCTGCTTTGTCTGTCTTGGTAGACACGGGCTCTCTTGGGTATTAATTCGCATTTTCTAACAGAGTCACGTATGCTGCTCACAAGATGCCTCCTCACTGGACAATGAATGGCAAGATCGACAGTTCTGGGTTCTAGAAAGAGCCCACGGCACCCACCACCTGGACAGGTCTAAGGAGCGCTGGGATACTAATGAGCTCACAGCCGCTGAAGCAAAAGGAAAGCTAGCGCGCCGTGAATCTGCTTTTGTCCAGCTGCCGAGGGACGAAGGCGGGCACAGAACCAGGGTTAGTGTCTGAGCTCCACGAGTCTGCAGGTTCCCATGGAGACAGCCTGATCCGCGATGCTTAGAACCAGGGAACATTTGGGAGGATGTTTTATGGATTCCAACACCTTTTTCTTTTTGTGGATGTTGGAGTTTGAGCAGCCCATTGAGGGCAGATGATTAAATTTCAGTCATTGTTCAGCTCAGGGTAGATGAAAGCCCGGCTTTGGTCTGGGCTTTGTTCTTTCTTCCCTATGACTGACTGACTGTCAGTTCGCTATGCCTCAGGCACTGTGTGAGAGCTTTGTAATACTCATGCCACCCATTTCTCTTTCTCATGACCATTCTCCTATTTCCTACTATCCCAACAAATGAGCTACCTGAGTGAGACTCAAAGAGGTGTGGCTGCTCACCAGGAACACAGCTAATAGTTGGTGGAGTGGGGATTGGACCCATCTGTCCTGGTTCCAAAGCCTTTATCTCCCAGCACCGAGTGAGGGTGCTCCGCCCACACCAACGGCAGTTCCTCCGCCCACACCAACGGCAGTTCCCCCTTTCAGCTGCCGTGGGACCAGCCTGTCCCTCACCACGCCCGCACCTTTCCAGCAAGAGCCTTGGGCCAGCACAGCGGCTGTTTCCTTTGTCAGTCACCAGTGGCAGCCCACTTTTCTGCACCAAGGTCATTTTCAATCCCGGGGGCAGAGCACTCACCAAGAGCCACTGCTTAGAGGGGCACTAAGCTGAGTGGCCACTCCACACACTCCACTCCACAAAGGCCTGGGAGGTAGGGGACACCGGCTTCACTTGGCCGGTGGGTGGACAGATGGTTCTTTCTCAGAGTTGTTTGGCTACCCAACAGCCTCCTCTTTCCCCTCCATCCCGCGGGCTACTGCCCACTTTCTGGTTCCTTAGGTGAGGGCTGGTGCCTCTTAGCAGTAGGCCTCAGGAACACTTGAGTAAAGAGAACGAAGAATCTATTCTAGCCCCATATATTCTAAGCTAAAAAGGGCAAGGAGAAGGGCGGATCTGTTTGCTTTTCCACTCATGCCATCTAGACATGGAGCTGAGGTCAATGTCACAAACATCTCCCAGGACAATAAAGTGTGACCAAGTATCAAACGCCCCTGCATGGGAGGCACAATGCTAGGCACTGCTTACTTATTAGAGCATCGGCCCTCAAGTCTGTGAAATGGGTGCTAATCTTAGCCCTGTTCACTGATGAAAATTGGGTACCGAGAGGCCTCGGAACCTGCCCAAGGCCAGTTAGCTCCTGAGGGCGGAACTAGGTCTTTCTGACTCCACACATTTGCTCTTAACCACTGCCCCACACGGGGGGGGGGGTTCTCCCCTTCACTAAAAAGGCTCCACCAAGGCAGGTTCATGCCACACCTTGGCACAAGAGCATGAGCTTCGCCATCGGGCAGGCCTGGGCGTGGGTCCTGGCCCACCACTTCTCCGAGTGACCCTGGGTGGGCGCCTTAACCTCTCAGAGCCTCTGGTGACCCTTCTGCACATTTGAATACTTACCTTGCAGGGTCTCTGGGAGAAATGTAAAAATGAGCTCTAAACACCCGACGGTGATTGTCACAGAGCGTGTGCTGAAAAGGTGCTAGTGTCACTCAGAGAGGTGGAAGCCTCACTGGAGGAGGTGCCACCTGGGCTGCAGTCCTAGCTCTGTCCCTTACCAATGGCCACGCCCCCTGGGCATGTAATCACATGAAACATATCTGAGAAGGGAAAGAAATCCCACCAAGAAGGTGGCCACAGTGCCATCAGCCGCCTCTGCCATCATCTTGACAATGGGCCTGACTTTATGTTGGTGGACAAGACTGGTGGGGCAGAAGGGGCGGGCCATGTGGTCTTGCAGTAAGAACGACACAGACCTAAGGTGGAATGGAATGTCCAGCCCCACTGCATGCTTGGCAGGCTGTTGTCTCTGGACCTCAGTTTCCTCATCTGTGAATGGAGACAGCAAGGCTCATCTCTCAGGGAGAACGTATTAAATGAGATGTTGAGTGCTGGCACCTGGCGCCTGCCTAGCACAGAGCAGCTGCTTCCTGCAGATGAGCTGCCTTCCCTTCCCCACTGAGAAGCCAGCCCCTGGCCTGCTACCCTTCTCCTGCTCAGGACGGAAGCCTGGACTTGAGGTTGGGCACATAGCACATGGCCTCCAGTTCCAGACCTTGACCCTCAATCCTTTCAGAGCCTGAGTCTTTATGCCTCTGCGGAACACAGCTGGTGTCCCACCCGATGACACATCCTCTGCTCTTCTGCTTGCGACCGTCACTTCCTCTCGCCCCTACGTCCTCCCAGGGTGAGGGACCCTCTCAAGGCAGTAGACAAATAAGGCCTGGGCCAGTTTCCTGGACCAGCAGGCACTGACCAGTCTAGGCCTGCAGAGAGAAGGCCAGTCTAGGCAGCAGGGAGCTTGTGTGGAAGTCAAGGGGGGCGTGTAGGAGCTACCCAGGGAACCAGGGTGTCAAAGGACAGGGGCCACCCTGAGGGAGGGGGACAGAAAGAAGGGGACAGAAGCATCACTCTGGTGGCCATGCGTAGTTTAAATCAGGAGTCATCAACTCTATAGTGTCCCCAGGGGACCAGGCAGGCAAATAAACAAGAGATTAATATTTGTGAAGTGCTTAGAATAGCGCCTGGGCAGAGTAAACAGAAGTGTGTTTCCTAGCGCCCCTTGCCTTCTAACGAACAGTGTGCCTAGCTCCCTGACTGAGTCTCCCGTGTCTGTCCCCTGCCAGGATGTAAGCTCCAGGAGAGCAGGGGCTTGTCTTCACTCAAATGCCCAGGATGGCGCCTGGCCCACAGCACACACTCAGAGCGCTGGCCGACTGGCAAAGCAGACGGCTCAGGTGGGTGGCGCTAAGCATCACCAGCTGCAAATTGCTGCCGAATTTCCTGACTGTTTTTTAAAGAGAACTTAAAAATTCTCATTTTGGTGTGAAATCTCCTGATTTAAAAAATCCTGTGCACGTTAAACAAAGTATAGCTGTAGGCTGTGGGGGTGATTAGGGCAGAAAGCCATTTGCCTGGACCACCGGAGCTGAGGTGGGCCACTGCTGGGGGAGATGGAGATGGGCCGGGACTACCAACCCAGCACCACGGGGGCAGGAAGGAAGGAGTGTGGGGGGGCTTCCCGATGTGCTCCCTCTTGGGAATGAACTAGAGAATTCTGAAGTCAGCTATCACCACCACCACCAGCCCAGCCTCAGGACCAAGACCAAACCACCCTCTCTCCCTGCCATGTCCCATCCCCAGGTCGGTCATGGGGCATGGCAGGGTAGTGACAACTGTCCCTTCATCCCTGCCACAAGCCTGGGACAGCTCAGCTGGAAGCACTGGGAAAACCTTCTCAACACCCTTGAATGGCTGGGGGGAACCCCTCACCTCCTTAAAGCAACAGGAAGACAAACTCGAATCCAATTCTGGTTGAGGGTTGGTGTGCAGGCAAATAAAAGGAAACAGAATCATTTAAATGGGGGTTCGGGAGGCGCACAATCCAGCTGGGGGAAGTGTCTTACCTCTGAGAGCAGTTTTGAGACAATTTCCAGTGGGGCTTGGTTGATGGAGTCATCTTGCAGGGGGGATGTCAGGGCCATGTCCACCAGAGTTCGGATCTCCTTCAAGACAACCTCCCAACGGCTTGGGTTACTCAGGACTTTCTTATATTTGTAAATCTTTTTCTGGTCAGGAGAAAAAGACACAAACCTGTTATTCAGATGCTGAGGGCAGAAGACACAAGACGATCAAAGAATCGGACAGTTAGGATGCAAAAGGGCCCAAGAAACCGTAGTGTGGGCCATTCTCTGCCCATGAGAAAGTCCACCTGAAACAGGAGGAGTCTTGCCCAAGTCACCGGTGCGTTTGCAGATGGCCAGGCCTCCGGAACACAGAAGAGTAATTTCTATACTATTTCCAGTGACTTAAGAAAAGAAAAAGAGATTTCTCTTTGAATAATATCTTCTGCCAAACTTATTCCCCAAGTATTCAAATGCAATAGGAGTGGAAACATTCGCGGGTCCACAAAGGGACTTTCTTTGAGTGGGAAGCACTGCTTCTGCTCATCTAATCCCAAGAGGTGCCCCTGAGGAGTGGGGTTCAGCTAAGAAACAAGATGGACAGGCTGGGGGCAAGGAATTCCACTCCAGCCAAGTGGGCAGGGAGCCCCCAGGAAATGAAGGCCATCTTCAGCTCCCACCAGGTGAGGAAAAGGGAGACAGGAGGGAGCATTCTCACCTTCCCGCAGGCGCTAATTGGAAGCTGAAGCCAAGGGCTGCTGCCTCCCTGGACTCGAGGCAGAGTTAGTTCCGCCTCTCTGACATCATGGAAACAGGGGCCCTCCCTCTGAAGGCGGAGGTCCCAGCCAAGTCCCGCCCCTTCCCTGTCCCAGCTTGCTGGGGAGCCTCTTTCTAAGTGGATGAACTCCTTCATTAGAAGCCCTGCTCCATGGGGAAAACCTAGTTTAGTGTCACTGTGCCAGCAGACATGCCCCAATCACCGAGCCAAAGTCTGAGTGAGGAAAGGAAGGAGGAGGAGGTCAGGGTCCCCCACTGGCCCCCGAAGCTGACCACTTAGCTTCTGAGTTAAGAATGACAAGGTGAGCCCTAGCCGGTTTGGCTCAGTGGATAGAGTGTCAGCCTGCGAATTGAAGGGTTCTGGGTTCAATTCTGGTCAAGGGCACATGCCCGGGTTGCAGGCTCGATCCTCAGTGCAGGAGGCTGTCAATCAATGATTCTTTCTCATCATTGATGTTTCTATCTCTCTCTCCCTTCCTCTCTGGAAAAAAAAAAAGAATGACAAGGTAATCTTGGAAGCCAATGCCTTAAAGAAAGTATTTGGGAACACAGTCCATATCAAACTGAGTAGTAACTTGTGCTGAGCACTGTGGTGGAACCACAGGTCCAGTGCGGAGTCGGGCACACCTGACTCTTTCTATAAAGTACTTCACTCACTGAGCCTCAGCTTCCTCTTTTGTAAGTTAGGCATGAAAATACCTCGCAGCCCCTTGAACTATGCAACCTTAATAAATCCTGGACCCACATGGTCCACTCTCCGTATGGAGTTACATTAGAGAGCAGAGCAAATTAGGACAGCCACCAGTAACAAAAAGGGGAATCCGGATACTTAACCAGTCTCTTTTGTAAAACTTTCAAAGGATGAAATATACAACCCACAGCAACACAAAAAGTATCCCATTTTCTTTCTCCCATTTTCTTCACACTCCATGATTTTCTGGAGCTTCTCACTTGCTAATCTATCCCTATCACCACCAGCATCACCCACACAGTTAACTCACAAAGTATACTTCCGCCTCATCACCCAGATCTTTCCTGTGTAAATCAACTTAGCTTGTCTCTCCTACACACAGCATTCATTCCCTCTGTCCCCACCTCCTTCTCTCTGTCTCTGTCTTATCATTCTCTGCCCGGGCACCCATTCCGCATCAAGAACTAGAAAGGGACAGAGGGCCGGAAGGGCAGAGGAAGACAGCATAGTTTTCATGGGGGGGTGGGGGTGGGGGGGGGAGGAGGAAAAGACCAGGAACATTTCCTTGCCAGTCATTTTGGACCCGACTAGGCGGGGCGGGTGTTTGGTGAACAGTATATTCGTCCTTGATGAGGATGATGGTGAAATCCATGACGTTAATACAAGACGCACCATTTCTCTGAGGCTTTCCTGGACTGTAACCAGCTCAGTCCTAGTTACCATCAGCCAAGCCTCCCTGACTGATCTAAGCAAACACAGTGCCCGAAGCCTAATGTAGTGGAGACACTTCCCAAGGCAGAACCCAGTCCATCCCAGGAGACAAATGCTCCTTTGAGTCCGGGACATTGCGGTTTCGCTCTGTAGCCAGAGAACTGCTTAATTTTTAAACGACCATTTAAGCATGCCATATAGTAAGCCCCAAAGAAAACCACAACGATGCACACCCGTGTCTTTCCACAGTAGATTCTAGGTTTAAACACGGTCTGAGCTTTAAGTGCCTTCTCTTCTGATCACCTGCAAGTTATTTACTTTTGAAAGAATAAGGACTTCACCATTTTTTGAAAATGATGCATGCTTATTGTAAGAAATTTAAACCATGCTGAAAGCACAAAGGAAAGGATAAGTGAAAAAAGGCCTCAAAAATCCCACATCTTAGAAATAACCACCATTAATCTTTGGTGAACATTATTCCAGCCAACCCTCATTTAAATTTAACTGCATGCAGCCAGCCTGTGAGGTGGGTGGTCGTGAGTACAGTCCCCTACTGGCCACTCAGACAACACTGAGATGCAGGGGCAGCAAGGCCCTGGCCGAAGGGTCCAGTGGGCGCCACCAGCCCCAATGCAGTTTCCAAGGAGCCCCTCATGGCTGCACTCGGCCCTGGTGCTCACTGACAGCCCCTCCTTACAGCGGGGAGGACACAGCTCTCCGTAGAGTGCCTCTGGAACCCGAACCCTTGCTTAAGAGGCACCCCCAGAACAGGGGTCACAGAAGCTGTATTCAAAACCAGAAGGTCCCAGGGGCTTTAACAAGGGCTAAGATTTAATGAGCGAGTACTATACACCAGACACTGTGCTGGGCACTTATAGGCATCATCTCATTCCATCCTCACAGTAACCCCAGGAGCTGGGGGCCTGCCACAGGCTGAGCAAACGCTAAGACGAGACCCAGGTGCAAATGGTTTATTTATCTGAGAGGCGCTGAAAGACACATCAGTGCTTGTCGGGAACAAGAGACTGGGAAGAGAAGGCAGTCAATTAGCAGGGCATTATCAAGCATTATGATGGGACAACTGGCAATGTTACCCACTGTGGGAAGGGTGCTGAACCCACTGGGATCCCTAGGAGACAGAGTAGATCACGCATTAGAGCTGATCCACCCAAGGAGCAAGGAAGCTACAGCATTTACCCACTAGTTTCCTGGACACCCCAGTGGCTGCCCTGTGCCCTGTGCCCCGGCCGAAGTGCTTCCACAGCCAGAAACACACATGCCCCTGGCAGAGTTCACAGTGAGCATCCTTCAGAGCAGTGATGCTAAAGGGGGTGAGGGAGGGGGGGAGTGCCTGCAGCTTCTGCTACAGGACTCCAGTATCCTGCTTACACACAGGGTACTATCATGGCCAGAGAGGTGACATGACTTGCCCAGGGTCACGCAGCTAGAAAGGGCAATTCAAGAGTCAAAACTGGCTTTGGTAGCCTTTAGATGCCCCCTCTTTCTAGCACATCAGCCAGGGCTGGCACAGATGGTGGAAAGGGACAGATTCGTCCAGAGACACTGTGAAGAAGGGGTCAAGAATGATGGTGGCATGGGGTGAAGGCCAGAAGTCCATGAGGCCTTGAGAGCCCGGGCCCAGGCGAGCAGGGAGTGGAGGAGCTGCGGGAGGGGCTGGTGGGAAAGCAGGTGGACAGTGAGGCTATGATGTCATGGTCACAGGTGTGGGCAGGCCATTGGTCCCCATAAGAGGCTTTGAACTCTGGGACAGGCTGCCACAGGCAGAGGGAGGCTTGTCCAGGACCACAGGGGTCCAGTCGCTCTGCCTTGGGTGACAAATTAGTTCATCTCAGGAACTCTGGTGAGCTCATCTGGTGATGAATCACGGGGCTGGGATAGGGACACCTCCGAATGCTGACTGCCAGGCTCCTAGGAGCCTAGCCCTCAGCTTTGCGGTATGTCCTCCCACTGAGCCCGCTTCCCCAAGAGGGGTGGGTTACCTCTTGCCACGTCCAGAGTGAATGGACTGCTGGAATCCTTTGACAGGGGACTTCGAACTGTCTCCCTGCTTGTTTTTGTGCTAAAAAGCCAAGAATGATCTTAAATTACTTAAGGGTTATGAAAAAAAATGCGATAGGAACCAAACGTGGCCCACAAAGCCCCAAATATTTACTATCTGACCCTTCAGAGAAAAAGTTTGCTAAGCCCCGGCTGTAAAAGTCAAACCCCAGCCTAGCGGTAAACGCATACTGCTGCTCAACATTATGAGCCACTGGGGGACACAGGTCCAAACCATAAAGAGACACTACTTCACTCCCAGCAGGCTGTTATTACCCAGAAAGACAGACGATACCAAGTGCTGGCGAGGAGTGGGAGAGACCGGGATCCTTGTGCAGTGCTGGTGGGAATGTAAATTAGCTCAGCATCACGGGGAAAAAGCTTGACAGCTACTTAAATCATTAATCATGAATTGATCATGTGACCCAGCAATTCTGTTCCTAGAAATCTACGCAAGAGAGCTAGAAACAGACTCTATATAAAAGACATGCACGAGTGTACACAGCAGCATTATTCATAGTAGCCCCAAGCTGGAAACGACCCACATGTCCATCAGCTGATGAATGGATAAGCCAGATGGGGTCTATCCAGACAACGGAATAGTATTTGGTAGTAAAAAGGATGGAACTACTCATTCATGCTACAATACGGATGAACCTCACAAATGTTATGCTAAGTGAAAGAAGCCAGATGCAAAAGACATACATAGATTCCTTTTATATGAAATGTCTGAAAAGACAAATTTATAGAGACAGAGAGTGGAACGGTCATTGCTGGGGAAGGGCGGATGGCAATGGAGATTAGGCTACAAACAGACTTGAGGCACCTTCCAGGAGGATGGAGATGCTCTAACACTGGATTGTAGTGATGGCTGCACACCTCTATAAATTTACTAAAATCACTGAATCACATACTTAAACCAGGTGAA